AAATGTATTTCCCATTCTTAAACTTTGCTGGTTATGGTTCTCTAAATCTGCAGAATTCATCTTTTTTTTTAAGTTAGCTCGGTATTTGGGGGGCTTGTTTTTTTTTACTTTATTTGGGGGTGGGAGGGGGCCTCGTTGAGGTAATTATCTAGTTCTAGTTTTGGTGGTTCCTATTAATTCCTTCAGACCTTTTACAATGGTTGGGATCGCTTTCTATCGTCTCCCATCGCCTTGTGTTTGGCAGCACCACTTGACTTATTGTTGTGAGCATAACATACTGCTAGATTATTATGGCAGTATAACTTGAGTGGCTTATGTGTGTCGTCTACCACTTTCAACCTGGGCATGAATTTCTTCAGCCAATTCACCTGCCCTGTGGCCTCATAACATGCTACAAGCTCGGCATACATTTTGGACGATGTAGTGACGGTTTGCTTTGAGCTTTTCCACGATATAGCTCCTTCTGCAAGAGTGAATATATATCTTGACGTGGACTTTCTGTCATCTCCCGCATAATCAGAATCTGTATACCCCTCTATGTGTAGGGAATCAGATCTTCTGTACGTTAGCATAAGACCCTTCGTACCTTGCAGGTAACGCAAAACTTTCTTTACTAATTTCTAGTGTTCTATTCCTAGATTACTCTGATATCTGCCAAGTAACCCGGTAACAAATGCTAAGTCAGGGCGAGTACACACTTGAGCATACTGTAAACTTCTGACAGCTGAACTATATGGAACCGCTTTCATTTGATCGATCTCATATTGGCTCCTGGGACATTGAAATTCCCCATATCTATCACCTTTGACTATGGGAGCAGGTGAAGACTTACAATTTTGCATACTGTATTTCTTTAGAACTTTTTCTAAGTATGCCTTTTGTGATAATCCTAAAACCTCATTTTCTCTATCTCGGTGAATCTCTATTCCTAGGACGAATGAAGCTTAACCGAGATCCTTCGTATCAAATTTCGAGGATAAGAACTTCTTTGTTTCTAGTAGTAGATTAATATCACTGCTAGCGAGCAAGATGTCATCCACATACAAGACTAGGAAAATGTATTTCCCATTCTTAAACTTTGCTGGTTATGGTTCTCTAAATCTGCAGAATTCATCTTTTTTTTTAAGTTAGCTCGGTATTTGGGGGGCTTTTTTTTTTTTACTTTATTTGGGGGTGGGAGGGGGCCTCGTTGAGGTAATTATCTAGTTCTAGTTTTGGTGGTTCCTATTAATTCCTTCAGACCTTTTACAATGGTTGGGATCGCTTTCTATCGTCTCCCATCGCCTACGCAAAAAATAGTCAATTTTGTTGATTTTATTCGTCCAAGGACAATATGGTCATTGCGCACACCCCTCTCACTCCCACCCCATGCCCCCGCCGCGCCCCCTCCCCCCACGCCGAATCGGTCAGCACGCGACGCTGCTTCTCTCCCTCGCCCTAGCCGTCGCCGCCCTGCTCTCTCCGTCGCTCTAGCAGCCAGCGGCGGCCTCGCATAGCGTTGCGGCAGCCGCCGTGCCCTATCCCTTGCTTGCCGCGGCAGTAGCCTCGCCCTCGTCCTCGCTCGTCGGTCGTCGGTGGGTTTCCCCGCTGAAACAGCCCGGCCTACAGAGACTGGCGCGACCTCCAGGCAATGTACTTGGATTCTCCTTCTCCTATTATCCTATATGAACTGCATACTTTCAGTGAGATTCTGCAGAACTAACCTCATCTCACTTACAAAGGTTGATGCAGATTGATAAGCCTTCTATTCTCCTATATGAACTGCGTACTTTCTGTGAGATTCTGCAGAAAACCTCATCTCAGTCACAAATGTTGATGCAGATTGATAAGCCTTTTGTTTTTCATAGATCACTATGTTCGCTTGATCGTTTTTGTGACTTATAAGCTGGCTAATGCTGTTTTGTTGTGAGAGAAAAACATTATATCATGACTGATAAGCATGGCTGATACGATCCGTGGTGGCCATCGGGCCGAACATGGCCCCGTGGATGAGAGTGATGGCTGACAGAGAAAGTCTGCAAGCTATCATGGGAGCACGGGGCTTGATCAGTGGAGTATTAGTGCGGCTGGGTTAGAACACAAGGGCACTTACTATCTGAATTTGTAAAATAGCAAGGCTGTTGTAGATCTTTTCTTTTTGAAGAAGTTTTCTATTTTACAAAATAGCTAAACAATAGAATTTTGCTATTAATTTTAGCCAAGCTGTTGGTGGTCTAATATATTTTTTGGGGTTAGCTAAAGTTTAGATATAACTTTAAATAACATTTATTTGGAGATATTGGATCTATCGACGAGAGATCTAAATAGGGCTTTAATCTCTTTCTTTCTTCCAATGGACACCTTCTAATTAGTTTCTTTGCATGTCTCATGATGTTTTTTTTCTTGATTAGTTTTTTTGGCTAAAGATATATAGGCTGCAATAGCTGTTAGCATGAGCAACGCGCGCGAACGAACAATAACGGCGCACAGCAATCCAAGTAGAGCACGGGAGAAAGCAAAAGTTACCTGTTGTTTCCTATTACAACGTTGTTTAGCACCGCAGTACTGCTCAATGACAAGATTCCAACGCAAAAGGAGGTGGATTAACAGGTGGCCCATCCTTTCCTTCGCTCTGATAGGCGGAGCGATATATCGCACAGGCAGACCTACAATGATGCTTGTACTGGTGCGGCTTATACACCAGCCGAAAAGGCCTTAGTTGCTGCTGGATACCGAGGAGGAGAGGACTTGCAAATGCAAGTCAACGTCCGCTGGCTCATATGAGCAGAGCCTCCACATCTAGCTCGCCCCTCTCCTTGGCCTTTGCTCGCCGATCCGCTGCAGTACCCACCGGAGCCGGAGATATTGGGCATCGAGGCGGTCGGATTCCATGTCCATGGCCTGAGCTCAGCATCTCTGCTGCCACGCGTGCCATGGCAACGACAGGTTTGTCTGCGCTCCCTATCTTTACTGCTGGTCATCAGCTCGTTGTGCTGTTGCAATTTGCAGAGCTGCTAGTTCACTTCTGCCCCTTTTGCTTACCTTGGTTTGGGTGTTGTTCCGTGTTCGCTGCAGCAGCTCTAGCTGCTTTACCTCCTAACATGTACGACTGTAGATAAAACTTGAAAAGTTACACTAATTAAGGATTGGAGCTTTATCGCCTGCTACCTGCATACATTTGTCTTCGTTTGGCCTTCTAGGCTTCTACCTCGTCTCGTTTAATTTGGTTGCGTGTACTGATGGAACCACTGGGGGATCTGGAGTAGGTCTGGGTTACGGCCTATGCTGAAGAGCTTCAGCAGCTCTAGATTTTAAAAACAGTTTCAGTTCATAAAATCCAGCCAAACGTTTTTTTATCGGAATCCTGCCAAACGTCTTGCCTCCACGTAATCCAGATCCAAAAAACTGAATTTAGAGGTCAAATCCATGAATTAAATGGATCTCCTCACGGGTGTTCAAAAACTAGAGTTTTCATTTTTTTTGTGAGTTAGGAAAAAATATCCAATCACTACAACAGATTACACAAGTGTTTTTTTCCTTCTTTGATTTCCCGTCGCTGAACCATCAGCCGGCACACCACCGCAGTCAAAGCCCTGCCCGGCCCCTCCACCGGCATCATGCTTGCCCCGCCGTTCAGCCTTTTCAGCTCTGATGAGGGAGGATAACTTCTATTCTAGAGCGGGGGGCAAACTCTACGGTAGAGTGTGCAGTGGATGTGGTCGTTATACCCACGACAGCGTACCTAAGGCCTCAGGTCTAACTTATCGAAAAGACTAATCTGATAGGTAAGGTTGCCTCGTCTAATATGTTGTGCCCCCGATCAATTTCTGACATAGGACTAAATCTAATAACACTCTAAAAGTGGAAATGTCTCTATAGTAGGGTTAGTGTTCTAGAGCTGGCTTTACACAACTAGAGTTCCCTCAGAAGCCCTTATTCCAAAATCCGGTACTGATTCGTAGAGCTTGAGCTTGGGCCAGACATGGCCTCGGAAAAGCCCTTTTGACCCATGATATTTTTTGGCCCACCAAATGTGACACTAGGCTGGGCTGCATCAAGTCGGGCTACCCATCCAACACAAACCGTTAGATTGGGCTTGAGTTTTTCATTGGATTATGTTGCTACAACACCAACACATAGCCTGTATGTAAAGATCAGACTAGGCCCGGTATGAAATATAGATGGGCTTAGCAGTAGCACTGGTGAGGACCAAGCTCAGCCCAAATCCACTTGTTCAATCACGCCGACGTGGTGTAGCCCCGTTCGGTTGAACTTATCAGTCTTGTTTATCAGCCATGGTACAGTGTTTTTCTCTGACAATAAATCAGCGAACAATACTTTTATGGCACTTTGGAGGACATATAGAACATAGAAACAAAGATCAACTGATTCACACAATAAAATCAATTGAAGCCCCTAATTTTGGCAATTTTTTTTGAAATGTATGGCAGCTCAAATCAATTAGTCTATTGAGATGACGGAATAGTTTGATAGGTTTAATTTATATGTGTGTCACCACACAATCACTAAAGAAATTTTATGCTTGCCGCACATAGGCAGTCACGCAGAGGAGTCGTAAGGGGAACATATCCTCACCCTGACCCTGACCCTGACCCTGACCCTGCCCTGACACACACACACCGACCGTCGGTCAGCCCTGACCTTAGACGGCAGATTTGGCTAGATGCTTAAGCGTCACTGTCATCACTTCTTGTAAAGAACTTTGAAGCTATAAGGGCAAAATGCCAATGACAGGAACTAGAAGTGGCACACGAGCGCCATACACAAACAACGTACAAGACTCAACCACTCTCCCTCCTTTTATACACATTGGGCCAGGAAGCTTAGTCTGATCAGTGATATCTCCTGCCATTATATCAAGCACCGAGAACCACCCTACAATTCCATCCTCCTCCCAGCAGCTCTAAACCCTACGACCACATTTTACCCCCTCTCCCCGCCTACTCCAAGCCGCCCTTCCCCCTCCCTCCGCGCCTCGGGATCATCCACATCCGAACACCATGGTGAGCGCTTCCGCCGCCTTCGGCTTCGCCTACCTCTACCTGTGTTTGGCCTTCGCCGCCCTCGAGCTCTCCACCTTCCTGGACTCGCAGTGCGGTGCCGTCACGGGCACCACGACATGCGCTGAAGCCCCACTGTTCCACAGCGCGGCCGAGGTTTTGCCGCCGTTGGCTGCGGTGGTGGTCCTCTTCGTCGCCGTCGCGCTCACCTACCGTCACCTGAGTCATCGCCACGCCTACGCCGTCCCCGTGGCCGGCGCGGGAAACGGGCGGCGCTCGATCTCGGGGTCTGGGCTCGTCATGTTCGTGCTATGCGTCTCCGCTGGCACGCTCGAGTTCATCGTGTTCGGGGGGCAGGCTGCCGGTGGTGGTGCCGATCACGGCGCGCTCGGCCTGGCTGCTCTCCGCGCGCTGCCTGCCGCGGCGACGGGCACGTTCTTTATCGGGATGATGTTGATCATCGTCGCGCACGTCCGACCCGGCGGCGAGGGTGGCGGTGGTGCCGTCGCCGCAGACGGGCAGATCCAGGGGCTCCTGCGCCTCCTCGCCAAGGTCGCGGCCGGAGCGGCGGCGGCACTCGTCGTCTTAATGGCCATGGCCCTCACTCTCCACGGAGCCAAGTAAGTTTCCCCAAACTCTACCAGCCGCTGACCGACCTCACCCTTCCCGGCTGCACCACCAGCCCTCCGCCCCCCGCACCGTAGGTTTCGGTACCGCAGCCCCGCCTCCCTTTCCGCTTGCCGCCTCGGTGTTCCGTGCCCCCCGTGCCTCTTCCCCGGCGTCCCCGGCTCCCCGTTCGCCCTTAACCCCCAAACCCCTCTTGCCGGCACGCCTCCGCCTAAACCCCGTTTTCCGTCCAGCTCCTCCAACTTCGTCAGGTGGCGCACCGACCAGCCCGCGGCCGCCACTATGACCTAGTCAACCATGGTACCGGCTTCTATAGCCGTGGGAGACGAATTGAATTCCCCATCTGGCCGTCTCGGACCCCCAGACCTTCGCCCGCGATTCGAGCTTCCTGCTGACCTCGTCGCCATATGCTGCGCGGAGCTGGAGGTACTAGTAGCTCGCTCGTCCGAATAATGCGCGTAGGAGTCTAGGAGATACAGTAATATGCTTCGCGGAGAGACAGGCAATATCCTATAGCGATCCCGGTGGCTCGATCGATCGGAGCTGTTGGTGGTGCCGGCTACAAGTAATGGGGTGTGTGGTTGTGCAGCTTCTGTCTCCTACGGGACGTACACTCTTACAGCTAGCTGCTCTCCTCGTCCATGGCGAACAACTTCCGAATTTCCGATCGATTCAGTGAACAATTCAGAGTTTTAGACTTCTTCAACAGCAGCAGATACGCTGCGCTTGTATGTCTTTGGTTGTCACGGGGAGTTCCTTTGGTGGTGGTGGTGGTGGTGGTGCCTGCAGGGCGCCGCAGCATTGCCGGCCGTTCGCCACCATTTGCTTTGCTTCCGCGTGCTGCTTCCCCGAGCTGAACCTTTTAATTTCCCCTAGAACGGATGGATGGTTAATGATCATCCAATCACAAGCCTTTCATTACACATTTATACAGTCCTCTTACAATTGACCGTTTCCCTTTTGCGATGTTCAAGATTGGTGGTTACATATATACAGATGATTAAACATATAATGTGGGCAATCTTGTGTGTCTTGCAGATACTAAAGCATGGAAGTAGGTGCTGGCCGGTTATATTACAATTTACAATCAAGGTTCATGGTGGGGATACATATCCTGAGATTGACACCGGCCTACACACAACAGACTCCAACGAATTTTCCTATGTGTAACTCAGATGGATATTATGTAGTACTCCTAAATATGGTTGTTGTGGTTGCTTCTTGCGACTCAGCGAGTGCAGCCAGCTGTGATATTTTGAGCTTTTGTGTCTATTATTGTGGAAACTTGCCTTTGCATTTGTCACCATTTCGTAATTCGTACTATCAGATATGGAAACGTGGTTGACTAATATGATGCAGTCTTCTGTGTTGGTGAATGTACCTGATGATTACTAATTTTACCAATTTGATTTGAGATTCTTGTGTTGGTGCACTGGTATATGCAAATGTGCAATAAACGCATGTGTTGGCTTTTGCCCTTGGAATGAACCTTGTTTCTTTCCATATATAGGTTGAGACTTGGCAGCTGAGATTGAGTCTCCTGAGAGAGGAGTTGATGCAGGTTATGCTTCTTCGAAATTGCAGATTACATCAATTTGGTATTTCAGGTTGGCTCAGCATTTTGGGGGCTTGTTGGTGTAATTATCTAGTTCTAGTTTGGTGGTTCCTATTAGTACCTTCTGTTATATGCTTCTGTAAAACTTCTCCTGGCTTCCGTTTAAGCTATGGGGGTTACTATACATGCACTTTGCTCTAAAAGGATTTTAACGAGTGTTTACAATTTCTCTGAATTATTGCTTCTATTGTGTGTTCAGGTAGCAATCCAGGCCTAAGCCTGTCAGCTACATCTTAAGCATATCATCACCGCCCAAAGATGATATATGATGTTGTAAGTTTTGCCTCTAAACCTATCAAATAGTAAGACTCTGATTCATCACTTAAGGTGTCTTTCCAGTCTTGCTAATGATGAGTTAACTTGATATGTGGCAATATATAACCGCAGACCAAATATTCCCTAGTTGCATCTAGTCTCATGCTTGCTATAAAACTTGCTTAGCTCTGTTGCAATCTGGTTGTGGGCTTGTGGCAAAATCTTGTTGATCATGCTAGTTTGTGAGATTAGTGATAGCCATGGGATTGCAGATTTCTGTAGGATCCTCTCTTTGTTTTGCTCGTAATGGTAAATTTTTTAGAGTCCTTTGAGTTTTCTTTTCCTTTTCTGTATTTGTGATAACAGAGATGGTGTTTTTTACTGTTGTCATGTCCAGGACTCCAGCTGGTATGTAGTGGCCAACACGGCAACACATAAGCATATTCGCTCTCAACTCCATCTTCATCGTTTCTCTTTCGCCTCCAAATCTGACTACAGTAAAGCACTAAGACCATGGTTGACTACTTATACTTCTTTTGCGAGTTTTAGGAAGTTAGTCGCATCCGGTGCCATCTTTGCTTGGTACCTAAACTTATCTAATCACAATTGAAATATATATTGTGGCAACCTACTTCTTGTTAATTATGATATTTTGTTCATCTTATAATAAGAAATATTCTTTTGTAAGATTGGTAGTATGAATTGGACTGTGAGGTTATGCATACTCTACTGATTTTGTCGTTGTCTTACCCGTCCACCATGGAATTGTTTTGATCCTGGGTTATGAATATAATAGGTCGTGTTTGTCATGAACTGTATGATTTGGCAACAAAACCTGGAAAGTACCTGACGCAACTTGGATTGGATTCTCCTTTTTCCTATATGAACTGCTGACTTTCTGTGAGATTCTGAATATAAGTAATAACCTCATCTTGCAAAGGTTGTTGATGCAGGTTGATAAGCCTTTTGCCAAGCCCAAGAGGAAATCGTGCGCGCTGCGCTAGTTGTCGCGTAGCCGCACATGGCATCGATCAATGCATCATTCCCAGCCCGGAAGTCGGAAGCGTGTGGTCCGACGCGCCAAGCGGCAAGGGCGCAAGGTTGCTGGGGTCCCTGTCTCCGTTGGGGACTCGGGGTTTTGCCGTTTTGGCCGCTCGCGCAGGCGAATCCCTGTGTCAGGTGCCGCGTGGGGATTAGGAGGATTAGGCTGCGTCTGCGAGAGTGGGAGCGGCCGAGCCGAGTGGGACACACGCACATCGGGTTCCCACGATCCACGGTTCATGGCCAGAAGCGCGGTCTGCCACGGCGAAGTGCCTGCTGCCGCTCTTCTCCCAATCTGCCTTGACGCGGGTGACCCATGTTGTTGTGCCACCGCCGGGGCCCGCAGGCACGCGAATGGCAATACATCGGTCAGTCGTTTGCCGTAGAGCATGGGGTCTGATTTTTCAAGGTACCGATAATACTGGGATGTTTGCCATCGGCTCCGTCACGCTTACACGCCGTTTGAATTGGAGTTGAGGATTTCAGTCAAGGACGCCACTTCACAGCATTGGCTAGACAGCCAGAGTCAGTGAGTACTTTCGATGGTGCCGAAGCGCCTCGACCAGGTGCATTGTACTGACCTGCTACTAGATCGCCAAGCAAAAAACCACAGGGACCAGACGACCAGGGCCAGTCCAGCGCCAACATCACGCAACCTGAAAACGAAGTCACACCCACACCAACTGGCGGCGAGAAGCCGTGCAGCCGGCCGTAGTCCGCTGCTCACTGCTGTGCCGTTTGACGCTACGGTCCTTCGCATTAAAATCGCTTCAGTTCAACTGTGCAGCGGGTTGCCAATTGCCATGCATGCGCGACATGCCCAAGCTATTGCCAGCGTCGCTCGATGTACTGTCAAAACGAAGGACCACGTACGTGTTCCGGTGCATGCTGAGATCCGGGTGATTGTTCGTGTATTCATTTTTATTCTACATGCACAGTGAACTACTTGGAGTAATGTCGCCTTTTTCATATGGAGGTTTAAGCAATTGGATTTGTAACATGGAGGTTTATGTTAGAGGCTCAGAGCACCCCTTTGTATGATTGTATCTAAAGCCATTTTGGACTCTATACTAGTTGGACTACCGTGTTGGGCCAGCCTCATGTCTACCCTTTTAAGAAAACGATCACCCTCGACTACTGTGTAAGTTCGATTTAGCTCCCTCAATATGAAAATCGGTTTTTTAGACTCCTCCAAGTATTAAACTGTCCGATTCACCTAAAAAGTTTTGAGAGTGGTTTTGGCTGACGACGTCAGCCATCCTACGTGGCCCAAGTCATATACGAGAGAGGTAAATTGCACTTTCACGGTAGTTTAGGGAGGTCAATTAGACTTTATAAAAAATTATAGAAATATTTTTTTGAAAATTATCTAAATATTTTTATACAATAAATATGCATTAAAAACTAAAATTTGATTCATTATCATAGAATTTGTTTTGACTTGGAAAAAATATGGAACTAGTTTCATTTTTTTCCTGAAACCATGTTGTACCTTTTTTGTTCCATTATTAGAATTATTTGAATCTTATATGGTCTCCTAAATTTGAATCTAGGCCAAATACGAAATGAAGGATACAGACCAAGATAAATTATTGCAGAACCGCAGCATTGATCGTTGTGCAACCTGCCATGCAAACTACCCAAAAATCCTCTGCGGACAGTGTCTTGCTTAGCCATCAAGACATGCATGGAAAAATCCACATAAATCATATAATTCAAACTCTTATTGCATATTAGCAAAGTGTATCATGTGGTTTAAATTTGTAGCAACGTTGTCTTCTTCAGGGGACATCACGAAAATGGTGTGTGTAGACAATTATGTGACTTCTTAGCCTCCCAAACTGACTTCTGTTACTCGGGCGACAACATCCCAATGGACGCAAACACTTCCTTTTTTGTCGTAGCCGTTATAGGTTTGCACATGCACAGATAGCATATGATTCAGCACGGAGGCAATTTGGCCAGGTTCAAGAAGATGTTTGACTTCATGTGTTCCCTAATTTCACGATCTAGATTATGATGTCTAGCTCATAAAAATATAAAGCATGATTTTAGAAAAAAAAATGAAACTGGTTTCATATTTTTCTAAGTTGAAACAAATTTTCTATGATTTTCTTAATATTAAATCAAATTTTATTATTTTTAAATGCATATTTGTTCTAAAAAATTATTTGATTTGTTTCAAAAACTTATTTATACAAATTTTAGTAGCATAATTTTAGGAAAAATATGAAACATGTTTTATATTTTTCTAAGTTAAAATAAAATTTCTAATATTAAATTAGATTTTATTATTTTGAATGCATATTTATCCTAGGAAAAGTATTTGGACATTTTTTAAAAATTATTTCTAATTTTTTGGTTAAAATCTAATTGACCTTTCTGAACTATCATGAAAGTCCGATTTACCTCCCTTGTGGCTGACTTGGCGCCATGTCAACCAAAAATCACACTTAAACCCGCTTAGGGAGGTAAATCTAATGGTTTCAATAGTTGGAGGAGTCTAAACAACCGATTTTCTAATTGAGGGAGGTAAATCGAACATATGCAATAATTGAGGGAGGTTAAATAGACTTTTCCCCTTTTAATAATGGCTGATTAAACTTGTAGGCCCATTAGTGAGGTCAAGATCAATGAACCAATACGGTTACGTGATGATATGAAGTGGATCATATCATTTGTGATTGGTTGGTACATGTATTGCATCAACATCGGAGGAGATGGAATGGAATGCGCAAGGCAAAGGTATAACCTAGGGTATTTTATTTCACCGGTCATAGGTGTGTAGAGAAGTTTATGACTGGGTCTAGGATAGATGGTCGTACTATCAAAAGGGATAAACTCGTTTGCATATCAGTCATTTAGTGCCACTCGAGTGATCTAACTTTGCGTCATTGCTAGGATCGAGTGGCGTGGCAAGTTGAGTGACTAATCCTTTGAAAAATATTTGTAAAAAACTAACACACGTACACAATGTGTTGTACACTTGGTGGTGTTAGCATATTTGTAAGGAAGAAGTCGTTGGAGTTTAAACGGATCAACCCGGAGAAGAAAAGAGTGCAGAGAGGGGCATCGAACCCTGGCAAAGAGGGGCGTCGGACCCTGCGGCTCTCAATCCGACGGCCAACCCTAGC